GGGTCCAATGCCTGAGCTCTGTGGAAACCAGTAGAGGCGAGCGGGACCCGTGTCATGGTCGCCACTTCCTCGCCCTCCAGTGCTCTCACTCACAGCAGCAGGGCTGTGGATGCGCTCCTTTACTTAGCATTGTTCTAAAGTTGCAGCTGTGCTCCAGTTCAACAGGACTGCAAAACCGCCAGCCTTGTCAGTTGCTTTTTGTGTTCCTGTCCCTCTCAGGCCTTGTCACCTATCCTTCATGTCCCATGGAGGCCCTTCTGCAGCAGCCAGGTGGAAGAGGAAGGGGGAGGGTTGGGGGTGCAGGGGAGTAGGCGTCCAGGCTGCTCCACCAGCTTCGCGGGAGAAGTGCTATTCCCATGGATGGTATTGTGCAGAATAAGAAGGGGTCCTTGAGGAAAAGAGGGCTGAAGATCACTGGGGCTTGGATGTCTTCATTTCTTTGCAAGTTGCCTTTTTTGTGTTTCCGACCTGTAGCCAGGTTAATATATATCCACAGAGATAAATTATTGTACAAATAAACCAAACTGATGTAGTTTGCTTCCCTACTAATGGATACGTAGAAGGATCCCTATTTTCACCATCTCAGATTAAGCTTCTGTGGATGTGAGGGTTTCGTGATAGAGGGTGGACACGCAGAGGGCACGCGGGGCAGCTGAGCAGAGCACCAGAAGCTGTCTCGATGCGGTAGAGCCACAGCTCCTGAACCTACAGTGAGCAACTAATGCTGCCTTCAAGGGCGCAAACAGAACCTGGGCAGTCGAGCAAGATAGCACGGAGAGGAAAGTGTGTCTGTCAAATGCCGGAGAGGCACAATGTGCGTTGGGACATTTGTTGCTTTAAGGTGTTCCTTCTAGTCCATTCTATGTTCTCTGTGCTGTTTAGTCCTGCCCTGCATCCCAGAGAGGAGGCAGTATGGGTTCACAGTTCTCTGACAGACAGTCACAGAGTCTGGACCATGGAAGGAGAGTAGGGAGGACTCCCTGGGTCCTCCCTGTAAGTCAACGGGGCATGGAAGGAGAGTAGGGTAGTCACCCTGGGTCCTCCTACAGGTCACCAGAGTGCTGAGAGTCGCTGGTCTTTACTTACCACTCATCTTTCCACTCACAGAGAATGTCCCTTCTTTGTTCTTCTGGTGTAAATAGTAAAGACCTTGGCCTTGGGACTGGACACCCGAGCACGAGATCATTCTATTGGTTAACCTGTACACAGATGCCTTCAATATCCATTAAAAATTATAAAAGTTGGGACACAGAGAGGAAGTTAGCTAAGTGCAAAAACATAGTAAGACGCATCTGTATGATTCCACAATCCAGGCACCCCCCATTTTTGTGGCTCATCTGTGATCTCCTTTCGAACTGAAACCAGCTTGATATTTTTGTGTGTGAACTAGTGTTAGCACAATATCTGGCAAGTAGAAAGCACTTCAAAATTAAAATAACACTGAGCCAAATAGGAATAAATTAAACGAAGCCAAAATGAATGGAATTTTTACTGAATAAATGAGATGCTAATTTGACACATTTTAAACACCCTGGGTGTTCCGCACCACCCCTCCCTCCCTCCCGCATGTGATTTTAAAAAGCTTCCTGAACACTAAGTAATAAATTCGATCAGAAACTGAATTTATGAAATATATGATCAGTGTTTGCTTGTACAGTATCAGCCTCTCACGCAGGAAAGCGTTGCGGTCAGGACAATCGTATGATGAATTCAGAGCCCCTAAACCAATGGTTTTCAACCTGTGGCCCGCCACCCCAGTGAGGTTGAAAGACCCCGTCACAGAGGTCGCGTATCAGATATCCTGAGTATCATATATTTACATTGTGATTCACAACAGTAGAAAAATTACAGTTATGAAGTAGTAAAGAAGATAATTTTATGGTTGGGGGTCACCACAACTTGAAGAACTGTATTAAAGGGTCACAGCATCACGAGGTTGAGAACCAGTGCCTTGAGCCTTTGGGACCCGTTTTCTTGCTATTGTAAATGGATGTTTAGTGTTGTTGTTCTTTTGCTACTGGAAGGTGTCACTTTCAGCCTCCAGGCAAGAAGCAACTTGTGATCCTTTCAGAACATGTAATTATTCATTTGAAAATAATTGTGATGGGCAAATTTATTACCTTTCCCTGCATTTTGACAGCAATAGAAAGGAAACAGAAAACCTTGGCAATTTGAGTTTTATTCAGTCAGAAACAGCATATGTTGGTGTGTTGAATCTCTGTAAAGAGCTCTGGAAAGCCTTCCTGAGCATCCTGCAGTGGCCTCTCCTGCAGTGGGCCATGGGGGTGAATAGCCAGGAGGACGTACAGTCTGCCCACATGGTGTTTTTCTTTGGGGGGCAGTTTTACTTTTTCTTTTCTTTCTGCAAACACCAAACCCTTGATAACTTGATTCCACCCTTCAGCCCTGTGGTCTGAATGGTGGTCCATGAAACTGTGTTTTGAAATTGCTATTATTTCAGTATTGCAAATCAGAGTTTAAGAACAGTTTTTTTGGTGCCAATTTGAAACTAGTGACTGCTCTGGGGCTTCCTCAGTTCCCTTGTTCAATTCTTTCACAAGAATTCCAGTAGTGAGCAAGGTTGTTTTATATCCAAGCCTTTCTGCTTAAGAACTCTGAGTCTTCCAACAATGCCAGCAGGGGTGGCTGGGGCAAGCAAGCCCAAGCTTTGGCTGCTCGGATTTTAACAAATGAGGCAGCATAGCATTGCAATACTACCTCTCCTTGACTGTAAGCTTGGAGACACATTCAGAGATGGGAGTGCTCCTTGGTGCAGACCAGAAGACCCTACTGGGATGACTTCCTCTCTTAAATCATTGCTCCCGCCCAAGTGCTGGCATCAGTTTGCCTTGTCTCACACCGTGGCTGATGGATGAATAGCAACATTCAGGACATGGTACAAAAGCAGAATTTGAAGCCTGCATATGAAAGCCAGAGCTTACCTCCACTCTTTACTGTGAGATATCTGGACCATTTACCCTGTCAATGTTCCAGTATTGTAACCCACACTGAAGACTGCCCACCCAAATAGGAAGACAAGTTTATGTGGGTCACCGTTTTGAAGGTTGGAGTTCATGATGCTCACTTCATGGTGGCCAGAAAAACCAAGGAAGACCCTAGAGTCCCATAATCCTCTCTCAGAACACACTTATAATGGCCCCAAATCTCCCACCAGGCCCCGCTTCTTTAACAGTTCCAGCACATCTCAGAGCACCCAGCTGGGAACCACGCCTTTAACACAGGCACCTTTGGGGAATATTCCAGACCCAGTCAGCACTCTCAGTTTGCATACGTAAATTGAAGATCATAGAAAGTATCCTCAAAGTAAGTGTTACATTGCAAATGAGAAGTAAAGTACAGCTTAAATCTTAGTGCTTGTTGTCACCTTCTGCCTGCCCAGCCTAGTGTTTTCCTCTGTGTTGCTCCATGGGGTTTAATCTTCATTGCTAAGTTGGCTGGATTTAGACTCCTAACAGATACACCTCTGGGCATGTCTATGAGGGGGTCTCATGTCTCCAGAGAGGAAACGGAGAGAGCAGGAGACCCATCCTCAAGTGGTTGACTCCTCCCACCCAGTAGGGCCCCAGGGCGAGAAAAAGGGGAAAAGAGAAAGCCTGAGGAGTACCAGCACCCTTCTTTCTTCATAAAGGAAGCACAGGGTGACCAATAGGCTGGTGCTCCTATCCATCCCTCCCATCGTGACATATCCACTGTCCCGTGAGCTAGGGTAAGCTGTTTATGTCCGTTATTTTCTCATAAGAGTAAGAAAAGTGGACTGGAGGGATGGCTCAGTGGTTAAGAGCACTGGCTGCTCTTCCAGAGGTCCTGAGTTCAATTCCCAGCACCCACATGGTGGCTCACAACCATCTGTAATGAGATCTGGCGCCCTCCTCTGGCATGTGGGCATACATGGAGGCAGAATGTTGTATACATAATAAATAAATAAATCTTAAAAAAAAAAAAGAGTAAGAAAAGTAACGGGCATGCGCTCTTTGGTAGTAGCCCCAAGCTGCCCACCGTCCTGAATGAGCACATCATATCAGATCATTTAGCCCAGCTTCCCGTGACTGTCTGCATCTTGCCCAGTAGGCATTCTTCAAGTGATTATTGGAGGGATGTAAACATATTACTCACGGTCTTTTTAAATTTTGTTACTTATTTGTGTGTGTACGCGTCTCTGTGCAAAACACACGGGTGAGAACAGATCTCTGCTCTCCTTCCTACATAAGTGTGTGTGTCTATGTGTGAGATCACCTGTGAGCTGCCTGATGTCTGTGCTGGGAATCAAACTCTGGTCCTCTGCAAGAACAGTATGTGCTCTTAACCACTGAGCAATCTCTCTGGCCCAATTTTATTTTTTTCCGATTTGAAATGTCGACAGAGAGATGATTAGTAACGTTTTCTTTGAAGGGTTATATTTGATATTTTATTTGAAAAGATTTTTTTATTGTGTTTATACAATACCATTTTTTTCTATTGAGTGATTTTAAAATTAACTTTATTACGAAGGAACTGAGCAGCTCCCCCGTGGGCCTCTTGCAGAGGGTGCAGTCAGGGGAGCTTGGGGTTCTGAGAGCAAGCTGCCCCTCTGCAGGAGGATCAACACTGCTGCTGAGCAATAGGCCAGGAGCTGGGCTTGCCTGCTTCCTGTGCACCTCAATAGAAATTTTCACTTCTTGAGATTCTTGAGACTCTCCTCCCCTCCCCCACCCCCGCACCTTGGTCATCTTTGCTGAGTCAAATGACCATAAGCTTTTAAAGGATTTATTTCGGAGATTGCCTCCAGCTGCGTTTTCCAGCCAAGTGAATTCTGCATCCAGGGTTCTGGCCTCCACCCAATGCGTTTCAAATTCCCAAAAGTCAATTGCACTTCTTCATCAATCATCCCTTCCAGCGTGCTGGAAAGTTCCTTGGCTTCCTGCTTATCACTGCTAGGATGGTTTCCCATTGCTGCTGCCAAGCAAGTAAACACCTTGTTTCTTTTCTCTCTGTGGTGACAGGCACATCTCATCATCCTGAGTAAAAATCCCTCCCCAGAGGAGGCTGCAGACTCTGCACACTTTGTTGCCCGGGCTGCTGTTGCTTCTGGGAAGCACGAGCACTACGGTGAGAACAGACCCCCTCTCTCCTACACAAGCGGCTTGGGCGTGTGTCACTGGTGGGTGAGGCTGTGGCGTGAACCCTCTGTCCTGTGGCTCAGCTGCTGTGCAGCTTCCCTGGGCTTTCCTCTATCTGTCCTTTAACCTTTCAGAAGGTCACCCTTCATCCAAAACACCACTATAAACAATGGGAATTCATGCACAGGCAGCCGATAGGGACATCTCTGCTTTTCCAAGGTGACTACTGTTGAGCTATGGGGCGACAGCTCTGAACTCCAAACTCACTTGGCAGGGCTTTCAGCCTGGGTAAAATGTACACAGTGTCAGGATTTCAAAAGGAAGCTGCCACTCAGTATGAAGTTTCTTATCTTGGCAGGAGAGTTAGAACGTGGGGTTTGGGGATTCTCCGCTCCTCCATCCTGGCCTCCTGTGTGCGACAGGAAACACATTCTAGTGATTTTGGTGGGATCAAGCTATTCAGAAATGGTGTGTAGCCTACACAGAATACAGGTATATTTCAAGATATCATATAGAAATCATCGTGACTAACATTGAATCCAGGATGACAGAAGTCAGTGTTGGAAGAGTGTGGAGTCAGTTCAGGAAGCAGGAGTCAGGGTAACAGGCCCGACTTAGGAGGTGAAGGGGAAGCCCCAAGGAGCAACCTGGTCCAAAAAGATCGTAGACACGCAGGGACTTGGTCTGTGTAGGAGCTGGTGCAGGGTTCCATAGGTTACCCTCTTCTTTCCACCCGCCTGGCTCACCCAGCAGATCTGGAAGAGCCCGAGCAGAGATGGAAGGAAGAGCCAAGTGAATTGCTAGTCCTCCCACCACTCCCCCCCACCCCCACCCCCACCCCGCGCTTTGAGCATTCTATCTACCCGAGGTAGACCAATGCGCCTTCAAAACCATCAAAGAGCCCCAGACTTAGACAGCTTTTTTGTTGTCTTACACTCCATTAATGGGAGAGAGAAAGAAACTTCTGTCACTCTTAATCAAACCTTGAAAATATAAATCTCACACAACCCAGATATCTATATGGACCCCAATCTCTACAGTAATCTAATGTCTAGACAGTGTGAGCGTATCAGATAGTTAAGGGAAACTTAAGCAAGTGGCAGACGGCCGTTGACTATAGAATGAGAGACTACACAGAGCAGCGAGGACCCCGGCAAGCTAAAGGAGCCTCTGCCTAGCTGTGTGGCTCTAGCAACATGGCGGCACGTGGCCAGGCGGCTTTTATTGTCCAGAGAAGGAAGACATTTTGGATGTTCAGGTGAAACCTCCAATTGCTGGTTGATGGTAACTACCTCAAATGTTTAAATATTAAAAAAATTTGTTTAAGGTTAAAGTGAGCGTGGGGGCAGCTTTGACCCCAGGTAACCCTGCGGTCCTGTAAGGAAGTTGCCATAGTTTTCCTCATCTGTGCACAACACGAAAGATAGAAATTTGGGGTCCAAGGCTTCCTTTATTCTGTTTGATTTTTAATCTCTTTTTCAAAATATATAAGGTTTTCTACCTTAACCACTTTTACATTTATGGTTCCAAAGAACTTAACACTTTTTTGATATGGTTTTGTTTTTGTTTTTTCTAGACTGGGTTTCCCTATGTAGGTTTGGAGCCTGTCCTGGAACTCACTCTGTAGACCAGGCTGGCCTTGAACTCACAGAGATCCACTTGTCTCTGCCTTCCCGAATGCTGGGATTAAAGGTGTGCGCCGCCACCACCCAGCTGATATGTATTTTTTTGAAACAATGTTTTACTCTGTAGCCTAGGTTGACTTCAAACTCAGTCAAGGCAGTCCTCCTGCCTCAGTCTCGTAAGTACAAAGTGAACCACCATGGGTCCAGACCTGTAGCTTCTGGCGGACGTTTGTCATAAGGTGGGAAGAACTTGCTGTGGGAGTGTTTCTGTAAAACTGGAGGTCATGCCCTGCTTCTACGGGCTTCAGGTTAAAGGTGTCAACAGCAGCTTTGAGAGCACCGGCACCTGCTTTCAGTTGTCACTACTGCCAGAGCTGTTTCCTGCCGTATCTGCTTCTCTCTCTCTCTCTCTCTCTCTCTCTCTCTCTCTCTCTCTCCCCGTTGCTCTACATCAAACTGACAAATTCCAGGTGGGCACAGGAGCTGCTCTCTGTTAGACCCCTTTCAGATTTGGGGACCTACCAATCAGAGGACACCTGAAACACCTGTCATCTTGGTAACAATAGTGGCAATTCGATGGGAAATTCAGCCACCAAAACCTTAAGGTGAGGACACATCTTGGTTGTTCCTGAGTTAAGACAACTGGTAGGCTCTGAGCATTTAAAACGGGTAGAGGTAGAGGAAGACAATGGTCTCTTCTGAGAGATGACCCTAACTAATAGCTGAAAGAGGCAAAGGCTAAAAACGGTCCTTTTGCCTGGAGGCTATTCTGGTTCTGAGCCCCACCCAATACACAGTGGACTCCCTTGTTGACTATAGGAAGTGAATGATGGCCAACAGAAATGATGCACAGAGAGGGTATCGTTCCAAAGCTGTTAGACCCATCTGCTTTGCCCTTCATAGAATCGGTGATAATCCAAATTGAGTTGTTTTTTTTTTTGTGTGTGTGTGTGTGTGTGTGTAGAGTTTATACACACACACACACACACACACACACATATATACACACAGCTGGGTTTGCCTCCCTTACAAAGTGGGGGTGATAGGAGCACCTCCATGGTACAGACGATGTGTGTATCCCAGCATCGGACACACTGGCCTTGCTTTACTTAGCTCCAGTTTTAGATGAAGATTCTTAGTCAGTAGAAAACGTGATTTTTTTTCCAAGCCATTGAGTATCAAGGTCTACGCCCAGAGCGTCATCCCCAGATGCTTTTTTTATCATTTGTTATACGTAAGAACTGGCCCTATTTTATACCTTCCTCCTTTCTTTCCCTACCTCCGTGCAAGAGCCTGTGGAGTCTAGAGCAAACATGGGACCTTGGATGAGTGAGGGCAGCCTAAGGACAAGGATGTAGAGAGCCTCTGGGAAGGGCCAGGACCCAGAAGCCTGCACAAGGTCTACCCTCAGCCCCTGGGGCTGACCAGAGAGAGCACTTCCTGATGGGCATCCAAAGAGCTCCGCGAGGTGTATGAGGAGGGGAATGGCTGGAGAGTGGGCGGGGCTGGAGACAGGACAGGGAGAAGTGACTCCAGGACACAGGAAATAGCAGTGGCGGCGGCAGCAGCAGCGTGAGAACTGTGCGCAGCCACTGCGCTTTCTCCTGCTGCCGTCAGTACCTTCCACAGCCCTAGAAGCGCGACCCTTCACCTCCAGCCAGTTCTTCCTACCAGAACGTTCTCTCGGTCGGGAGAAGCTCTTCCTGTCTGTCTCTGTCCCTCTTTCTGCACCAAGTCCAGATGAGCCTGAGGGCTGCTCCTTGATTGGTCCCTTTCAGATTCAGCACCTGCCAATCAGAGGACCGCTATCACCCTGATGATAATAGTGGTGATTTGATGGGCAATTTGGCTACTAAAGCTAAGCTAAGGACATGCTAAGTGAGGATGCTGGCAGAGAAGCCCACAGGGTAGAAGGACATGCCACGCCTGTTGTCCGGTAGCAGTGTGGACCTCAAAAGAGCTGTGTAAAGCAAACAAACTCTTCCATGGCCCAAGTAAATCAGAAATGAGTACCTGTGTGGAGGAACCACCCCGTCCCCCCCCCCCCCCCCCCGCAATTATTCCAACTGTTGAAGCCTGCTGTTGTCAGAGCCTTTGTTCCCTCGGTGGCAGATGAAGACAAGACTGGAAACCAAGTGGCCTAGCCAGCGCATGGAGACCCAGGCTTTGTCGTAGCTTGTGCCTGCAAGTGTGCTGTGCACGAGCCGAACAAGAACAGCCTGACGGGGGCCCAGGGATTCAACTTCTCTCTGAAAGCAGGAACAGGACAGACACAGAAGGCAGGGAATACAGCTGGAGACCAAGCAAGCACAGTCCCCCGCGTGCCTGTTATCTCTCTGATGTCCCCTCACATAGAGGAAGCCACCAAGGCAAGGCTGTGAGACTCCCACCCAGGGCTGAGGACTGTCCAGGCCTCTGCTGCTCCCTGCAGGAAAAAGGGAGGAGGACTACTGGGAACTTATAGAGCGTCTATCCCAGTCTCCACCCCATCCCTGCCCCTGCTCTCACCCACCCAGGACTTTCTGACCTGGACTGTGATCACTTCTGGCCCCCCAAGTCCTAGCCAGATCCTCCAGAAACAAACCTGCATGTCTTTCAGAGTATCATGGGGCAATCTGGCCTTTTATATTTTATATTTAAACCTGTTTGTACCTCACATAGACTTTTGGCTTTGCTTTTGCTTTTGGAGAAAAAAAAAAAAAAAACCAACGTAACAACAGAATCTTTAAAAAGCCTAATTTCCCATCTTGCCCGTCTGCTTCTGCTTTCTACTGGATGTCCATTGAAGGCACTGTCTGCTAAAAAGCGATGCCACTGGCCCAGACGTAAGGGTTTCAGGCCACATACCGGAGCTGGTGCCTTTGCTCCGCGCCATCCTGCATTCCTCGCGCAGACAAAACTGCCCTAGAAGTCTGGGAGGCTTGTGCTTGCGTGAAGATTCCCAATTCAGGCTGGTGGAATGTCACTAACCTGGGCCTGGCCAGCTTCCCAGAGCAGCCATAGACAAACTTGGTATTAACAGCTCTCCCAACCCTGCTAAGTGTCCAGGGCCTTGGCCTTGTGTTTATAACGCTTCTCCTTAAGGATATTAAGATGAAATGGTCCCCAGCCAAGTACATTTCAGTGTAAACCTTCGTGCTTCAGGGCCTGCTCAGTGCAGGCAGCCTTGTTTGGAAATGGCCCCATGTGGTCCTGGGCGCCAGCAGGCTAAGGAGTTCTGTTGGAGCCTAGGGACAGGGATTTCTGAGTAACTGGATTCCCTGTGTACAATTTCTTCTATACAAATACATATATTTCCCGTCCCCCATTGGTCCTAGCCTCTCCCTACATTTTGCATAGGTAGAATTTTTTTTAAAAGGTGTTT